CAGGTCCAGGTCCAGGTCCAGAGGTTTACATCTCTCACTGTGTCGGAGGGAAAGTCAGATGACAGACCAGATGTTTCAGGCAGACCAGATGTTTCAGGAGGAGGATTCTATATATTCATATAGATTATTCATGTTCATCTGTCGGCTGTGAAGTTTCTTTCAACCCGCCACAAAAATAAATAAATATACATATAATAATAATATATATACATATATATTATTATTATATATTATTATTATTATTATACCGTTATTATTTTCTTTTCAAAGGGTTTTATTTGAATTTTCAGTTTAATTTTTATTCTGAATCAGATTCATGTTCATGTGTTCGTTCATTTTAATTATTCATATAATGAGATCTTATGTCATTAATGTGCAGTCGACAAACAATCCTCAATTTACAGAATTTACATTTTCACTTTATAAACATCTGGATTTTATTTATTATCATTATTATATTGTTTTTATTTTTCTACAACACAAAATTTTTTGTTTATTGTCTTTTTCCATTTTTACTTAATTTAATTGAATGTGTAAATGTGTTTTATTTGATTTGATAGTGTGAGGCTCCTTAGGAAAAAATAGGTTTTAATCATTTATATCATTTTAAAATCCACTTGAATTAAATCAAACATCTGAATTAAAAAAAATGTTTCACTAAAAAAAGTGTCTGTGTGTGTGCATGTGTGTGTGTGTGTGTGTGTGTTGAGATATACAGTAAATAATTCAGGACTCACAGTGATCGGAGGAAACAAGGTATTGATCAGTTTAGATAGAGCTCAGCTTTGAAGGCCGATCCTCCTCCTCCTCCTCCTCCTCCTCTTCCTCCACAGCTGCTCAGTTTCTCTCTGTTTAACACAATGAACAATAATAATACACATGGATGAACAACAGAGGTCTGGTTCTGGTCTGAGGTTCTGACCCACCTGGATCAGTGGGTGTAACAGAGTTCAGGTAAACACCAGCTGACTGCCTGAGGTCAGAGCCCCCCCCCCCCCCCAGCCTGTGAGCTCATGCTTCCAGCTGTGTGTTTACACAGAGTTAAACGCTGTCAGACAACACGGAGCATGTCAGCGCGGCGGCGTGAGGCCCAGCCGTGGGCCGTCTAACCCCCACGACTGGCAGATGTCGCGTGGCGATGCCACTCAACACCCCCCCCCCCCCCCAATCAGCCTCAACAGCTGGGCTCACAGGCAGACCAGCAGGCAGCTCCCTGTAACGCGCTGTCCCTCAAAATACACCAGTGTCCCCAGCGAGTCCCCCACTGCAGCCACTGGGACTGAACCAGTCTGCTCCCACTGTCTGACCCTCTGTTCTACTGGAAACCAGCGACGCTCCTCCGTGTTCATCTCTCACACACACACTCTTTCATTTCTGGATGAAAAATGTTCAACCTGCTGCAACATGAAAACCATCAACAACGTTTCAGTCCCATTTACTGGATGGAACATAATAAAACCCAGTGTTATATTATTATTATATATATTATTGTTGTAGATAAAAACACATTGAACACGTTTGAAAAGGTTGTTCTCTGATTGTGTATCTTAGTTTCATCATACATCAGTTGTTGTGATGTTGTTGCTCCACACGTCAAACACCATCAAACGCTTCAGTACCAGGTTTTAGGAGGATGTGACTCCTCTGATCAGGAAATGTGAATGAATCATTGTGTAAATCCTCCTCAGCTGCGTTTATGTTTTAATTCATTTCTCACGAGCAAAACCTTCCACGTACGTTTCATCACGGTCTCTGACGGTCTGACACTCACTCTTATCTAATGAGGCGCTCCAAGGATTTTCTTTGACCTTATTGTGGAAGTTGTTTTTATTAAATGTAGAAGTTCACTTTCAACGTTCTTCTTCTTTAATCACACTTTTAAAAATATCTTTTATTTAAATTGAATTTTGTGACTGGGTCTGTCTCACACCTCAGGCACATTTCAAGTGTTAGTACTGTCATGATTCATTATTATTACTGTTATCATTATTATCATTATTATAGCTCTTTTTCTTTTCTCTACGTTTGATATTATTACAGCTGATGTTTGAATGACTGTCCCTGTTCTTCCTTCCTCTGCTGCACAACTCATACATATAATTCATATGTATTTTTACAGTGTAACGTGTCACTGTAAACTACAGTAAACATGGTGGTGACAGCTTCCTGCAGACAGACACAGTGACCTGAGAACACACTTCACCTGCTTCATCATCATCATTCAAAATACAATCAAACCTGCTGCTTTGCCTGGAGCGCCCCCTACTGCTGCTTCACCACAACACACGTTAAATCTGAGTTACACCTGCGCTGTCAGAGCATGACACTGTTTATTACCCATTATATTTCAGTTACACACCATACAACCACAAGTTATTATCGCCATAGTAACGACACCTAACAAAGAACATTTATCCTCATCCACCAGGGCAGGGACGTCACCTGACGCCTGTTCAACAACATGAACGTCCATCCTCACCCTCACCCTCATCATCCCCCTCACCCTCATCCTCACCCTCACCCTCATCCTCATCCTCATCCTCATCCACATCCTCATCCTCATCCTCACCCTCATCCTCACCCTCACCCTCATCCTCATCCTCATCCTCATCC